GGCTATATTACATATTGTAATATTATATAATGTTGTGCGCTATCTGTCACGCCCACTGAAGGCTCGTCAGTAGATCACGCGTGCACTGATAGCGCTGAAGTGAACTAACCCTGGAACACATTCTGCTCCGGAGCAGGTTATCTTCAGAGAGCAAGTTACTATGGTTACTTACATAATTATATAGAATGCATCATGATTTAGGAATTTTTTGATATTTGTATTTGAAATAAGGCAAAATCAGTGTCTTGAAATAAAGCAAAAATCTCAGCAATAAAAGCAATTTTTGCAGCATGAATGAATGAATGAGGTATTTAAACATTGCTTACGCTTTAAAACGGTGGAGGAGACCGAAAGAAACTCTGGGTTTACCGAAGAAAAGGTTAGGTTCACAGAGTAAGTTACTATGGTAACTTACCGAGAGGTTTAGTTTTGTCTTTTATTGGAACCGAAAACACTGAGTTTCCCTTTTCTGGGGTTAACAAACTCTGAGTTTCCAACAAAACCCGCTTTCTGGAATGCACCCCTGATATGTATTTTGATTTAGAATTTAGACATTATAGAAAATGCCGATCCATGTGTGAGATAATATAAAATGTAATAAATAAATATATAATAAATTAAATATTACCTTGTCATAGTGTTTTATAATTTATACAGATAACTGTTATATATGCCAATAAAATAAATATAATAACCATATTAGAATAATATATTACCTTATTTATTACTTATATTAGCACTTCATCATTAACATATCATATATATATATATATATATATATATATATAATAGGCTATATTACATATTTGTATATTTGTACAATAGGCTATATTACATATTATATAATGTGCGCTATCTGTCACGCCCACTGAAGGCTCGTCAGTAGATCACGCGTGCACTGATAGCGCTGAAGTGAACTAACCCTGGAACACATTCTGCTCCGGAGCAGGTTATCTTCAGAGAGCAAGTTACTATGGTTACTTACATACCCTGAAAGTAATCTCCGATTTTGGAACCGAAAGCTGAGGTTATCCGCTCGCTTATCCTCAAACATACCCGGGTATGTCACATAACCTGCTTTTTGGAATACCCCCCAGAAACCAGGAACCATGCTTTCATTAAAGTCATGTGGTTGAATCACACGTGTGTACACAGTTTTGTTTTTAACTGGTCTGGATAGAAGAGTTGACTTTAAACCAGAATGAATCAGACACACTGATATTGATGTAATTGTGTCATTAACTGAGTAACAGACTAACAGCTTTTACAGTGTGTGAACTGACAATACAGTACATAGAGCTTTGCACAAGGGCACAATGGTAATCATTAATAGACTGCAACTTGCAGGATCTGAACTTATAATTTTTTGGTACAAATACAGATCATTACACTGTAGTATAATAATAACAATTTCATAAAAATCAAATACTATAAGCATAACTTTTCTAGAAATGATTTACCTGAGATCAGGCCGTTTGTCTGCACTCATCAAATGTTCTGGCTCAGTCATAGAGCAGTTACTCGTCATAGACACACAGCTGGACTCTGGTTTTGATCTCTTCTCCTGGACTGACCTGTAACAGAACAGACTGGCCAATGAGAACGCCTGGTCGATGACGCATATATATATCCTCATGATATATGAAGATATAGGTTTATACCATGCATGAAATACCCATAGTAAAATTACAGGGTTTCCACGGGTCTTAAAAAAGTCTTAAATTTAGTTGTATCAAATTGAAGGCCTTAAAAAGTCTTAAATTGTACAAGAAAGTCTTAATTATGATTTCAAGAGGTCTTAAATTTGGGGACGGAAAGACCATTCAGCGATATGGCTGAATGTGACGATTAAACTTCAATCAAAAGGTTAACATTATGATTTCATTGAATAAACACAAGCGCTGCACGTTCAAAGTCCAGTGCTGCGCTGCTTTGTGTACAGCAGTTACCGGGGAAACAGTGATATTTCTACCAAACTCTCCACCTGCTGACAGAGAATGAATGAGCATTTTCAATAAAACGGTTGTTTTGTTCAGTGTTCAAACCAATGCAAAAGTCGACCCATGTTTTTACCCTGCAAACACACAGAGATTTAAATGTGAACTGGTGGATCGATAAGAAGACAATGCATTATAAAAATCTATTATATATTCATATATTGAAATGATTTATATGATGAATTTTCATATGGTACTTTATGTTAATTCCATATACGTGAACAATATATGTCTAATTTATATATGCAAGTCTATTTAAACAACATATATGCAAATATTTGGTGTGCTTATATAGGATTTGATATAAGTTTATAT